AGAATGGCTGGTGAAGATGAAAAGGAGGGAATCTCTGAGAAAATATCCCTACCTTCCTCACTTTCACGGAGAATCTTCAATTGTCAACAATCTGCCTCTGGCAATGCAGCAACTGATCAGAGAGTGGAGGAACTCTCAGACTGAGGAGGATTCTATTGAGGTAATACCTAATTCTCCCTCTCCACCTGTTCATATTACACCAGAACCCCATACCTCTCTTCCTAAATCTCCCTCACCAAAACCTAACACTCCCTTATCAACCCCACCAGAGAACCCCCAACCTGCATCAAATTCACCAATAGCCACACCTAAGAAAACTCCATCTCCTAAGAAGTCATCCTCACCAAAACAACCCTCACCCTGCCACCAGATAACCCCCATCAGAAGCCGATCACCCTCACCTCCTCCTTCACCACAACATCAGAGAACCCCCGCTCTGCCAACTTCACCTCATCAGAGCTCCTACCATCAGAAATCCAAATCTGCCTCTCCTCAGCAGAAGCCTTCATCCAAATCTCCTTCCCCTCAGCATTCTGCAGCCTCCACTCAGAGAAGAGAGCCAGTTGTAAGGATTCTTTCCTCAACTGAAGATAATGATGGATTCCTTCCATCCTCATTGGCTGGAGATCTTCAATCAGCCAGAAGGAAGACACCTACACCTCCTCAATCTCCCGTTCAACCTCAACCTCAGGCCAATGAATTGCCTCAGCCAGAACTTCCAAAAGCTGTCCTCATCCCCTTCCAGGAGTTTGTGGAATCAGCTGAAGACTTTGGAGATCAGATGGTTGCTGGACTCAACAAGTTGCTTGTACTGAATCAGAAGCATGATGCTCATCTGGATTTGGTTCAGTACAACATTGAGTCAGAACTTGCCAAGATATCCACAACTCTCTCTACCTTGGCAACTACCTTCTTGAGCTACATGAAGACATCTAGTGACAAGGTTGATAACATAGCCACAGAGGTAGCTAGCCTACATACTGTCCTGTTCTCCCAATCTCAGACTCTGACAGCCCAGGACAAGGCCATCCAAGAACTCTCTGATGCTGTTGATACCCTACAATGGTCACATGACAAGAATGCAGAGCATCTGACAGATGTGGAGGAAATCTGCAAGACAAACAAAGAGTTTGGACTTAAGCTGATCAACAGTGGAAAGGACAGAGATCACAAGCTGACTCTCCTTGAAGCTACCACTAAGGATATTCAATCTGCAGTCGATAAACAGAAAGAGCTGATAGAAGGGCTGGCCTCAGTGACACAGACACTCCCAGGTGCCCTAGAAGCAATCAAAGAAAGCAATGCTACAGAATTCTCAAAAATTGGACTCCTACTTGGTGATCTTGTTGATGCCAAAAAGGGGGAAGATATCAGAGAACCTGTTAAAGCCATCAGAGCTGCAGAAGGCACAAGCACCAGAGCCCTGACCCCTATCTCTGGTAAGCCTGATCCTTCAATATATTTTGAGAGAGCCAGGCAGAAGCAGATTGCTGCTGGTATTCAAAGACCTCCTCCTCCTCGGTCCAAGAAAGGAAAGAAGACAGCCTCCACTTTCACTTTGGCCCAATGGCTCAACAGTGACTTGGCTAAACCTGATGCTACTCAATTCAGAGAGATGAAGAAGCATATGACTCCTATTCAACAAGAGAATCTCATTCTGGATAAAGATGGACTAATAATAATTAACCATGGTGGGTCAATGCAAGAAGCAGAAGACTGGTGGCGAATGAAAGTGCTCCCTGGCAAGGACCTGTCTGAAGCCATCAGAAACTATCTAGATTGTCAGCTTGCACCTGCCTGGTCAGAATGTCAGAATCCAAGAAACCTGGCCTCCATCAGAGCAAAGGTAAATGCTGATCTAAAGGAAATTGATGCAAAGGAAGCTCAACTAGAAGAGGAAGATTTCTAAACTCTATCCTATTGTTGCTTTAAATACTCTTTCTTAATAAGATAACCAGCTTGCCTCTATTTTGCATGGCAATTTCAAATTATTTCTACCTTGCATTCTGATTATTTGTGCTCTGATATCTTATGTTAGTTTCTTATTTTATTTATCTGATTGATTGAATCTTACTCTTACTATTCTCCTATGCCAAGTGCCCACCAAGATTTTAAATGAAAGTTTTTCCATTTTCTTTATGGTGAAAGGCACTTCTCTGGAAATAGTTTAAGGGTTTTGGCATCATCAAAAAGGGGGAAATTGTAAGGAATAAATGTAATTAGATTTTGATGATGCTATAGGATTAGAATTTTAAAGTACCCCAAATTAGATTTTATGTATTAGAATTTTCAGTTGTAAGTATTAGTGTAGTCGACGATCAGAGTTGCTCTATTCAGGATCAGATCAGAAGTGCATCAGAACTGCTCTACCAGACTTGCTCTATGAGAACTGCTCCATCAGAGTTCTCTTACCAGAAGTCCATCAGAGTTGCACCTATGAGAGTTGCTGATAAACTTGAACATCTGATAGCCGATGAGAACTACAGATCAGAGGTACTCATCAGTGGACCTATCAGAGTCAGAGTCAGAGTTCAGTCAGAAGACCATCAGAACTCAACTCATCAGATAGCCATCAGAATCCAACATATCAGAAGAACCTGATCAGAGCCCGACTAACACTTAGAAGATTTCAAGCAACATCCAACAGCTATGAATCCAACGAGTAAAAACATCCAACGGCTAGAAGACTGTGCATGAAAGGAAAGCATTTAATGCACATTAAATGAGCCTGATACGCTGAAGGATTGATTACAAATGATTGACCAAGAAATCCGGGAAGATATATTTTAAAAATAGAAACCTTCCAAAAACGGCGGTCAAGTCAACTGTACGCGCATTTAATGCAGTTGTCTCCTCCTCCAACGGGCAGACAACCTCAGTATATAAGCTACACACCGAAGAACTGGAAAATAACTTTGCTACAACTATTACACATCATCATTCAAGCTCTCTTGAGATTCAAACTCTACAACCTCCAACAAGACAAGCTTACGTTGGGAAGATTCAAACTCCAAATCTCTCATCCCCAACAAACAAGCAAAGTTCATCCTGTTCTTCAACACTTCAAGAGCTTCATCAAACATCCTTTGTAACGAAGCAAGTTGGAGGAAAAACTCTGTTTTTCAAAAGGATCTTCTGAAAAGAAGGGCGTCCAAGTAACTGCAGTAGTGAAGTGGTGATACTTCCGGGAAGCTGAGTGAAAGGATCAGCCATCAGGACGTGGAATTGCATCCTGGGTGGCATCTAGGCTTGAAGAAGACGAGGAGTGCTTCTTAAGTGCTAGGAATTAGCTTTGTAACTGATCTACTTCAAAGCTAGTGGAACAGTGGACTAGAGGAACGAGTTGTTCCTTGAACCACTATAAAATATCCGGTGTCATTTACTTTACTGCAATTTATATTTCTGCACTTAGGATATTAACTGATTAACTCTAAGACTTGGAATCTGTGTTCAGCAGATCTTGTTTTCAGAGTTATCAGAAAGGCATTTGCCTTAGTATTTTTCTGAGGCTACCCGGACAGATCAGAATCCGCTGCCAAGGCCAGTTCTGATATCAGAACCAGCCTTTCTCTGTCACCAGAATCAGACCTTCTCTGATAAGTCACTTCGGACTTAGAGAAAATTTGAAAAACCAACCAGTCTATTCACCCCCCCCCCCCTCTAGACTGGTTACCATATTTAACGGGACCAACAAAAATGTGGCAGAATAATCATCTAATAAGAAGCTTTGACTTGAGTTTTCAAAAAAACAATTATCACATATTCCACCACATGTATTAACTTAAGTCCAAAATGAATGACAAACTAAGCTTCACTTGACAATAGGCACTAAATAAATATGCTTATATGCTTTATTGCATACCTCTTAACTGAATTTTGTAGAAACACATGAGTATCAAACTTGGTGACAGTAGATAAACCGTAAACGAAGCATGCATCCAAATTGATCATCAAACATAATAAGTTGAATATAGCAGTAACTTGCTTCACAGAATGCAAAATAACATGTTGCAATTTTCAAAAATCATCCATATAATTTTCAAGAATTGCCTCTGAATTCCTATCTAGACATTCATCAAACTGATTCTGCTTATAATACTTCATGAAAGTGTAAAAATTCAATCAAAAATGAAGGAGATGTCAATTGAGGGAACCAAAACTATGTTTAGTTTCAGAAATGCGAACATCAGTGCAATTAATTTTAAATAAAAAAAATTTGCTTGCGATTAAGAACATCAAACTTGGAGTTGCATTGCTTTGAATTCCAGAACTGTGAATCTTGATGCCAAGGGCGGGTTACCGTTTCACGAGCTCCATCATGAGTTGCCTAGATTTTCCGCCCAATATCGACCTCGAGCACATTCACAGGCTTAGTTTGATGTGCTGGAAAACTGGCTGCTAGTCGCCAGAAGGTTACAGCCCTAGACGGTGTCGGAAGAAAGGCCGGACGCGCGGACGAGTTAAAACTGGATTGCGCACCCACAAAGTATCCATATCATGATTTTGAGAACTCCATCGCCTGTCCCAGACTGTGCTCCAACAGTGTGTCCCGGTTGTCTTCCAATCGCTCAGATTCGACGGAAATCGCCGGTCGGGAGCTTCACTCCCAAGTCACAGATCTCATCCCTCTGGATGATATACTTGATTATAAGAGAGAAAAGGAACGTGGCGAGACGAGACGCTGGAGACGGAAGTGTGAATAGACACATCAGGTTAGCGGAACCTGTCTAAATCTGAAATAAAAAACCAAAATTGAAAATACAAAAGTTAAAAATGAAAAAAGAAAACAACAGGGACATAAATGATATTAGGGACATAAAATTAGACTATCCGGGTAATTTGCACAAGAAAAAACTACACAATCAAAAGCAGTCTTAGACCATGAGGTCCGGCCCACAAGCTTCCCGCTTAGACGCATGGGAAAAGGCGCGAAGGCAAGGAGACACGTCGGAAAAAAGGCGCGAAGGCGCGAAGGCAAGGCGCCAAAACCCCTACATATTTAAGCGCAACCTTTGATTTCCGTCCTGCAAATATTTGTTTATTGCATTGTTCCAATCCGCCGATCTGATAATGGACTCCACAGAGCCTTCACTGCTTGATTTCTTCAAATCGGAGAAAGTGTTGGGCTCTAATTCGAAGCCACTGAATTCGTCGCCGGCGGTTGAGATTCCGGTTGCGGATCCATTGACTTCTAAGACCCCCGAGAAGCCCATCAGTGCTCCTCGGCAGAGCAAAAAAGGCAATGCCGCCTTCTCTGTGAAACAGGTCAGAGAAGCGGCTCAGAAGCTCCATAATTCAGATCCGGTACCATCCGCTAACGACGATCCATTCGCCGATCAAATTTTGAGGCACCCCGGACAGCATGATGTTTCTTTTCCTGAATCTTCTGTTACAAAGCCTAGGAAACCAAACAGTTCAGCCAAGCTTCCAGAAAAGTAAGCAATTTCAGAACTTGACATATCTTTGCTGGATTGTTGTGCTTTTACAGTTCCAAACATTAAAATGTTGATTATGTATAGCGATGTTTCTATACAGCAATGTTTTTTTCTGGTTGGTCTTTAGATTTCGGTTTATTGGACACTATTTATTATCATGATCTGTCTCTTTTTACTGAATAAGTTCTGGTTTGCAAATTGCAATTCTACAAATTTAGGAATATTCTCTAATATCTGTACTGGTTCTATGTATTGATATTTTTACTAATTATTTGTCAGGTATGAAATGTTAGTTGAGTTCTTCAATTGCCTGGATAGTTCTATCAGATTACTAAAGATAAAGGGATCATTGGCAACATTTACCAGTATTAGACCCAAAATTCAGAACTTATCTGACAGGTACGGGAATCAAGAAGTGTAGATCTCTTTCACTGTTTTTACACAAACTAAAGATTTATCCAACAGACAACGTTATTAGGCTATGCTAATTGACTGATTTTGTATTAATTTTGTAGGAGGTTTACACACAGTCATCTTGCGCAGTTGAAGTTTATTTTACCAGAGGCCATTGTATTAAAGACGGTCCATCTGCTGGATGAGTTTACACAATGTAAGAAGATTGATATTGGTGTTACACTTGATGCCAGTACAATTGTGAATGAAGTAAAGACAAAATCAGGCAGTACCAGTATAGATATGAGGAAAGTATTCCGAAAGAGGCTTTTGGATTTTATCCGAGACCATCCACTGGTATGCACTTTTCTGTGTGTAGTTAATGCGTTTGGTTGAATAAGTCTCATGTTTCAGATCTGTAGAAATTTTGAAGGGCTAGTTTTGGTTAAGGATATAGGGGTGATATTAGATTGTTTCAGTTTAAAAAAAATGTGAAACAACAGAGCAGACAAACTTAGGTTTGTTTTTGGTAAGCCATTTCAGGTGTGTTTAGTTGGTTCACAAAGCCTAAGCTGTAAACCTGAATTTGGGCTGTCTATGATTATATGGGTTTAATCATTTTGGTTGCTTTGGTAAATCAAAGTCTAAATCTTGGACATCTAATTGAGCCTTGTGACCTTGTGTTATACTATATTTGGTTGATACAAGTCTGTTAGCGGTTTGTGTCTGTTTGTTTATTTGCTTCTTTGTTTTTGTGTATAAATCGAATAATAGTTGATCATGTTTTCTGCAAATAGGAGGAGCCTGACATTCCAGAGGGGGAATTGCCACAACCATTTAATAAATCAAAGGATAATGTGGCCACCAACCCCAACCCATCCGACCCACCAGCTTCATTTTCACATCTGCCTCAATCGTTTAAGCCCCGCTTCTCTAAACGTGACCAAACCAGTACAGAATCTTTTGCTAACTCTCATCATAATGAACCAAGCTTAAAACCAAACTGTACCAGATTCCCTCCACATCCAAACACTCCCATAAAGGATCTACATCAATCCATAACTGAAGAAAGAACTCCAGCTAAGCCTGTATCCACAACAGGAGTGATGACTTCTACACCCACGCCTCAACCTCCTCCTAGGAGAGGATATATGAGCCCTCAGGGTGATTCATCTAAGCCCCCAAACAAACTGTTAAAGCGCCCTTTGAACTTTGATTCGCCAGTGAAGAATGAAGTTAGTGAGGCTGGAGCACGTTCTTCAGCTTACCGTGATATGCTGGGTGTTCTTTCTGAGAATCTTTTGGAATCGGTAAGCATAGTTATATTATTGGAGCTCTGCTGTTAAGTTGTAGTTATTGGAGTGGCCGTTTGGGATGGCCTATACAAAACACTTAAATAAATAATTGGTTCGTTTCGATGAAAATGATTTTAATCCTACAAAAAGTAAAAAGATAATGAATTTTAATGTAAAAAACCTTTGTATTTCAATTAAAGCAGCATATTGCATCTGATATGGGAAAAGTGCTTTTATCTGTTTCAAAAGTCCATCCCAAACTAGCTGTATATATTTGTTTCCTATGAAGAAATCTTAAACATGGTGTGCTTGTGCAGATAAGAGAAAAAGAAAGGAAGGCATTAGAGGAAAGAAATCCTGTGATCTCACAGGCAAAGTGGAGAAAGCAAATGATTGCAGGCCTACCTAAAATGTTTGACACAATTCATTTCCTATTCCAATCCATCCAACACTCAGTTATCAGAAAACAAGAGCTTATGGACAAAATACTTGCGAACTACATAGACATTATTGATAGCAGTAAGCCTCTTGCCAACAAACAAAATCTTAAAACTACTTGGTATTATTTAGATGAAGCTATGTTCCAAGTACACTAAAAGTGTTAATTTTCAGGAGAAGCTGAAGAGCAACTCAGTTTATTGTATGTCCTAGCGCCAGAGTGGATTTATGAAAAGATGTCCTTAAGTGGCGATCTCCTTGTTTGGTAAGTGTATGATATTGCTAGTCTCTAGTGTTTTAACTTGTTTTTACTATCAATGTATCTGAACTGATTTCATCTTGTGCAGTGTTAACAAAATACAATCTCCAGATTCAATACGGATGAGACTGGCAGATGCAATTTGAGAGGAGAATGATGATAGAGGCCTTAGTATTGTGTAATATTTTTTTTGAAAATAGTATTGTATATTATTAAGTTAGTCTTTTTATTAAACTTCATCTATAATTATATGCCTTGAAGTAGTGAGCTTAATTTGATAATGCTTGGGGTGACTCAATTAGGCCTTGAGTTGTAACATTTTGACATTGTTAATTTTGACAACAAAGATAAATGCCCCTTCAAGATGAGCAAATGGAAGGGGGTTCCATGTTCAGTATATCAAAAGCAAAATCAAATCATACAAGTATGCGATATTAGAATACTAATACTGAATATGTTGTGTTTTCGTTTATAGGTATACATCAATCACTTATTATTTCTATTATATATGCATTGTATTCAAGTATCATAAGGAATTTTTTTACAATTGAGGTACATGCAAATTTTAAGAGTGTTTGCTTTTGTGCTCACTGTACTCTTGACAATCTCTTTGTTGACAATGATACATTTAGATCAAATCATGGGGGAACATATTCAAGATCTAGTCTAGCCTAATCTCCTAGCCACAGTCAACCTTACTAAGTTGACAATGCTACTATAAATCTTGGCAACATTTTGCCCTATAGCCCTATAGGGTCAAATTTACTTCTACTTAAGTCCGTAGTAATATTTACTCTACAATAATATCCCCCTTCATCCATTTGCATAAGAGGACTATGAATGTAAATATAAAAATACAATAACTAATTATAGAGTTAAAACCTATATAGATAATAAAGAATCACTATAATAGTAGTATTAAAATATTCATGATCGATATATAATTGGAATTGGAATTGTATGGATCAGCGTTTGGAATTATACTACAAACTCGTCTATAAATTACATTTATATTTACATTTATACTTATATTTATATATTTTACATTTACATTCATGTTTTTTTTTTTGAAAATTTACATTCATGTTTATTAAATCATATTTTTATTTACTTTTTATATTGATTATTATATTGACATTCAATAAATAAAGGAATATTTGGGTGTATATACAATTTTAAATATGTGCAATTAAGTTTATATCATACAATTGTATAAATTAAACAAATAGCTTAACTAACTTATTTAAATGAATAAACACACGTTTGCATAAGGAACTACAATTACGTGACCTCTCATTAGCTACACAAGTGCTATGCACTTAAAAAACATAATATAAGTTATTAACTTGGCGTCTTGTCCTATGACACAAAGCAACATAACCAACGACCGGTCGATGAGAATTGATGGAAGGAGGCTAGACAGGAACGGCAGGCGGCTGCCTGCCTTGACCGTCTTTGGCGAAGCGACGTGAGGCACGATCGATTGCCGGTGAGGAGACGGCAGGCGGCGGGATGAGAATGAAGGGCAGCTGTCCTTTTGGCTGCCTATGGGAAACTTTTTCCTCTAAATACCAAGATTTTTGATCAACTCAAACACACCATTCTAAACCCTAAATTAGTTCGAAAAGCCCCTATTCTTCAGCTATTTCCGCAGCTCTTCAAGTTTTGGGAGAGAGAAACTGAAACTTCAATCTTTCATATCTTTTTCATTTTAGCTCCAAATTGTGGGTTCTTTATATGTATTTTCATCCTCTAAATGTGTAGAATCTGAATATGCAACTTGTTTGTTCGATATGTTATTTGAAAATTTCCAGAATATTTGTCAACTATTTCGCATTTTCTTCCAAAAATTAAATAAAATAGTTGTTCATGTTGAATCCATTCCAATTAATTATACAGTTGTTTAATAGCCTCAAGGTATTTTTTATCTGAAGAAAATTAATTTCACGAATCCGAAGTAATTTTTAATTAAATTTGCCAAATAGTTGTTATTATTCCATAAATTAAAATAATTACTTAAAAATAGCAAAATTAGAGTTACGGTCCTAATATCAGTTTATTTCACTGTAATCTTACTCCCAGTTGTCAATAGAAAATTTAGAACAAATGTAGACTATTTTAGTTCCTTTTTGCATTTTCTAGTTAATATTGGGAAAATTATCAATTAGTTATTAGAATTGGATTTTAGGTTAGTAAATTCGGGAAAAATTCCAGAAAGTTATATTTTAGTTCCTACAAGTTTATTTTGGCAAAATTTGTTTGTTTAGTTTTTGCTATCATACATGTTTAATTCCTTGTTAATGTTGAATTTATTTCTTATATTGTTAGATGCAAAAGTGATGTTTAGTAGCTAAATTTGTTTTGAGCATGAATTGACTAAAGGAATATGGATTGACTTGTTAACCGAAAATTAGGGGCCAAGATTAATAATTTGGACTAGCTGTTTAAAATGATGAAATAGTAATTAATAATTGTTAACTAGTTTCATTAATTAAATTCTTGGAAAATTATTTCTAGCTTGTCTATGAGATTATAAAATAATTTAAGCCAATCATATTCAAGCACATTAATAAGGCCTAGAAATAGAATATTGTAATGAAAGAGATTTACATCTTGTCTATGAGAGATAAATTCATATTGCTTAAATAAAGAGTTTAACTAGTTAATGAATTTGGCTATTTTTATTAATTAAAATATCTGAGAATTATTTCTACCTTGTCTATGAGATTATAATTTAATTCAAGCCAACCATTTTGAACAGATTGATGACACCTAGAAATAGGATTAACGAAAATAGTTTCTATTCTTGTTTATGAGGAAAGAAATTATTGGTCCAATTTTAGTTTTAATACCCCTAATTACCCAATTCATTGCCCTTATTTGCTTCAATCTTTAGAACACTTGATCTTTAAACATTCATATTTAAATTGAACTTTGCTCGCTCTGATTTTTCAAATTGGTGTAGTTTAGAACACAATCACCTTTTTGTATTGAAAAAGCTTCCAACGATTAGCGATAGCATGTGACTACCTCAGATTAAATTAAGAAACCGCTCCGCCATTCCTCAAGAGACGCGATACTCGGGGCAAAACGTCGTGTAAGTGGTTATCAATATTCATCGCTCTATTCAAAAATTAAATCTTAATGTTCAATTGACTTCATGTCCCTTTGAACCTACCAGTGTTAAGGAGGCTCTTGCCAATTCTCATTGGCGTCATGCTATGACCGATGAATTCCACGCTTTAGTAAGGAATGGTACATGGGAGCTTGCCCCTCGGACTAGTGCCACCAATGTTGTTGGGTGTAAATGGGTATTTCATCTAAAATGGCTCCCGGATGGTACAATTGATCGATATAAGGTCCATCTTGTGGCTAAAGGTTTTCATCAACATCCTGGCATTGACCATACAGAGACATTCAGCCCAGTCATTAAATCTACCTCCATCCGTGTGGTTCTCTCTCTGATTATTACCTGAGGTTGGTCTCTTCGCCAAATTGATGTTAATAACGTCTTTTTGCAGGGCAGATCGTCTGATGAAGTATATATGGCTCAACCGCCCGACTTTATTGATGACTCTTATCCTACACATGTTTGTCGTCTCCATAAGGCCATATATGGCCTTAAACAAGCCCCCCCGAGCATGGTATCATGAGTTAAAACAATTTTTGATTAGTCGAGGTTTCATCAACTCAAAGGCGGACAACTGGACACCTCTCTCTTTGTTCTCTCTCACTCCTCATACATTATGTATATCTTGGTTTGTGTGGATGAGATAGTTGTAACCAGTGTTCTAAAAAGCTTCAAAATGCGCCACATAGGCGGGCGTAGGCTTGAAGCGAGATAAAAACGCCTCGCACTAATACTACTAGATTCTCACCCGTGCGATGCACGAGACAAAAAATAATCAAATTATGTAAAGTTTTTTTTTACATCAACGATCAATAATAACATCAAAGATTTATGAAATTATTAAAAATAATAAGAAAAAATTAATAATTATAATACAATATAGTATAATATAATATAACAATAATAGCAATGTACTGCAAATAAAAACAATAACTTCGATGATAAAAATAATAATTATCATATTGGATTGGCCACGTGTTCTTTTGCAAATTCATCTGTAGACCATCATTCAATTTCATCTGATTTCACTTCTCATTGATAGATCTAAACTTCTTTTCCCACGTTGATTAGTGGCTCATATTTTACGGTGGCTGAGGGATAATCATAAGATCTCAAATCATGTCTACACTCCTCTCTTGATTTGAGTATATTCCTTAGATCTCCGTCTCCTGTTTTTAATTTTATAAAAGCGTGGCCTAAAGTGGCTCCTATTTTACGGTGAGTATATTTGCACGCGGTTTAAGAAAATGATAAATGTGTGGCCTAAAGTTGTGCAAATGAGAGAGAGAATATGGACAAATGTTATGAACCACAAATTACTCGCCAACAAATGAAATAAGACATTGAATCCAATTGTTAACTTTGAATTTAACAATTCAAAGTTAGATAATCCTATATAAAGCTTAAATCCATAAATTGTAGACTTTGCATCTCTTATATAGTTATATCACAAGCCCGTTAATTTTATTCCACCCATTATTTATAGGTATTATTTTTGTAAAATCAGCAAACATTTATAAATTCTGTATATGCAGATGATGAAACGTATAAAATCCCTGGCTTTGGATGAATAATCAACCAACAAAATTCGTTTTTGGTATGTAGCAGAACCACTTTGACCCAATTATAATGAGAATTCCTTAAAAAAAATTATAATGAGATCTTGTCATGATTAGATTTTTGGTATAAATAAAAGCAGTTAAAGAAATTTTCTCTTTACATTTTAACTGTAATTGTTTCATTAATTAAAGCTTAACTAAAAGTAAAGCTAGTATTTATCAACACATTTTAACCATATAGTATGGCCTCTGGTCTGGATATACAGGGCCAATATCAAACATGCTCAACTAATGAATAATATTCATTTACTAAAAAACCCGTATATTATTCATGTTAAATATCTATATATATTTTGAAAAGTAATGATTTATTTTTTTAGAGCAGTTTTTATTTTATTAAAATAGGTGTTGCCAAGTTGCTCCCTCATAACTTGTGATTAAATAATGTGTTATGACTTACTTTACTCATTGTAATTTAATTTCATTCTCTTTCAATTTTTAGAGATTAATGATCTTACAGTTGAACAGACATCCATACTTGTTTTTAATATGGTTCTTGAATATTACGGAGTATTTGATATAAGATTATTTCTTTTTAAAAATGTATTTATTTTGAATAATAAAATATTTCAAGTTTATAATTTAAACAGAGAAATATATTTTTTATTTCCCTGATTAAATTTATGTTCTCTGAAACTAAAAAATTCAATTTTTTATCCATAATACTTTGTAAGAGATTAACAAAAAGTACCATTGTT